ATAGTCTTAAAAGCATGAATCTCTAGTATTTTTGCAACCTGAAGAGGATGAAAAACGCTGACATGATAGTTAACAGTTAACATACCTCTGGTTCTCAACATAGGCAATCGTTGCCTTTGGGAAAAACGCCGACATGATAGTTAGCCCTTCCAGTTAACATACCTTTGATTCTCAACATAGGCAATCGTTGCCTTTGAGCCAGACAGAAGAAAATCCTCTTCTCTAAGGGCTGGCTACAAACCCTGCTCACAACCAGCTAGTCAGATCATGCACTGTGAGATCAGGCTTTGCTAATTGCCACTTATTTTTCTTCCCCAAGGGGAAAATATTATTGGAAATAATAAGCATCTGATAACGTATTGATGTATTAAATATTAAACAGAAATCTATTAAATCTTAAATGGATACTGTGCATTCAAGGAATTCCAGATACCAAAATGGGTCAAGTGGGAATACTAAACTGCTGAAGGATTGTTTCTTCTAAGCTTTAACAGGTTAAGCAAGGAGAGCAGCGTAAGGTCAGGAAGACATTTTATTCCTTTTCCCAAGGTCTCATTATCAGGGATAATAGTGCGGATTTCACCTTGTTGGGAAGTACCATGTCAGGGTGCTCAAGCATGCTGGTGAGTTGTTGGAGCCACTGTGGAAAGCTCTGGAACGGCTTTCCCTCTCCAAAAACTGTATTTCCCTCCCAAAACTGTATTTCTGCCTCCTTGCATCATGCTGCAAAATCAAGAGCAGGGATGGAGACATTGGAAAGCGCCCGGGGATCTCTCAGCATCTGGGAAACAGGACTGCGATTTGAAACGTTGCTTATCCACACTTGTGCTTTCACACTGAGTAGCGAACTCATAAGTTATAAGATTACCTCATAGATGATGATAAGAGCACATTGCTTCCTGTGCGGACACGTGTGCTGTGGTGACCAGTTTGACTGGTGGTTTTTGTCAGTGATTTAGAATGGAGCTGTCAAAAACTTGAAACAACTTCTATTAGAGTCACGGGGTTTTGCGTATAGGCGGCCTGTGAAGCTGATCAGGGAGCCCAGCAGGGCGCCGGGCACTGGGCCAGGAGCCCGTTTGCCGATGTCCCAGCAGCAACGTCGGGAGAGGGCAGCTCTCCGCGCGGGGAGCAGGGACGGCCGGCAGCACCGACGAGCTCCATTCCTCACCTCTTCTTCCAGTTTGCTGGTGCTGGGCTCTGCCATCTGCTATCACGAGCTTTCCTGTGCTGCTTTCATAGTCTCTTGCAGTATAATTTCAATACGTGACATCGAAACAGTGTTTTATCCATCTGGGCATCTTGAGCTGATGTGCTGACTCCCGCTATGCGAGCGGTGTTGGCCGATCCTGGCTGCGAGCCGTAGCTTTGAAGCCGGGAGAGGAGATGCCCAGGAGATCCTTGCTGCTGCCTCCTGCTAGCCAGAAGAAAAGCTAATAAAATACCTGGGATAGCTCCTCTGTATGCCCCCCACCTGCACTTTTTTTCCCCTCTATTCTTTGTAATGCTTTTTGGAAGCTCTTTTTCTTAGTTGTAATCGTGCTGCTGCATGCCATGAAACTGTGAATTGTACAGGTTTGGAAAGGCTGACCCTGCTCAGTGTCGGCGTGGGGATGTGTCTGCAGCTGAAGTAGGCTAAAGCAAGCACATCATCCTCACTGCGCCCAACTGCAGCCTTCGGGGGGTCGTGAGGCATCGAGTGAAGTTGTCTTCTGAAGCAGCTGAATTGCTTTGACTCTTGAGAATTGTTGCACTAATGCAGATGTTCTGGCCAAACTTCAAGGTGGTAATTTTATGCTTGCTACTCAGGATAAACTCCCAAGAGTTTTATTTTGGTGTCGGGTCATTGCCTTTGTCTCTGCCTCAAAGAAGAGATGTGCAGTGATGGTAATCGTCATGGAGGCCGTCGCAGGTGTCCAGGCACTTGCCATGCCTAGCAGTACTTGACGATTTAAGCTGGAGAAGCTGATAGCTGAAAATGACCTAGAGGCAGTTCAAGAATATTCTACTTCCCAGTAAAACATGAGAGAAAAACAACCTGAAAAATAGAGATATCAGTGATATGGTAAGAGTTTGAGTACTAGCTGGAATCCTGCTCTTCTAGAGGGAGCAGGCAGACTGGAATCTGGATCACACTGTGAGAGGGCAACATGCAGAATAATCGTTTGGGAAGGCAACAGCTTCCCAGAGTGCTGAGCTTCAGGCCGGAATAGTCTCTGGCAGTGGCCCCTCTTTTGGCTCTTGACCACTACCTTTGAGCGGCACTTGACCACCACCAAATGACTGAGACTCTTAAGCAAGAGGGAGGTGAGCAGTGAAGGACACCGAGTCCAGCAGGTAAAGCCAAGAGAGATGGGTGCTGTAGAAATCACTCTGAGCAAGGACAGTGCCAGCCATAAAGGAAAACCCACCGAGAAAGGCAGGCAGTCACTCTTCAGAGTTTCTGCGCTCCTTAGGAGGAGGGAACAGTGACAGCACTGCTAGCTCAGATATTTTTTTTCACAGAAAAAAAGAGCCAGCATTTGAGCAGGAGATTAATAGAGACTTAACTTGCACGTGATTGGAACGTCTGTTCTACTTTGGTTGAATGCTCGTGAACGTCCCATTGTGCTTCCAGAAGCACCTCAAGTTATTTCAAAAGATGAAACATCAGAAGTAAAAATCATCAGTAAGATTTCCTGACATTAAAATGGTGGAGGGAACAGTGACAGCACTGCTAGCTCAGACATTTTTTTTCACAGAAAAAAAGAGGCAGCATTTGAGGAGGAGATTAATAGAGACTTAACTTGCATGTGATTGGAACGTCTGTTCTACTTTGATTGAATGCTCGTGAACGTCCCATTGTGCTTCCAGAAGCACCTCAAGTTATTTCAAAAGATGAAACATCAGAAGTAAAAATCATCAGTAAGATTTCCTGACATTAAAAATGGGAGTTATCCCCACAACAAGAAGAGTATGAGTTAAAGGCTAAGCAGGAAAGCTAAGAAGTGAAAGAATACAAATAAAAGAGTATCAGCTCTTCGGTTATGTATGTATCAGAGCTCTTGCACATTGTAAAAAAGGGTAGGTGTGTTGGAAGAGCAGGTGATCAGAGCAGTCCAGGAAGACTCTGAGAAGGTCTTAAAAGATAATAGCTTCTCTATGTATGGAAAGAATTTATTTATCTGGGTTATTGCTTAAAGTGGGATGTTGAAGAAATTAGGTTGCTTTGGGGACATTGTGGGAATGGGGAGATGGGTAGCAGGAACTCCTTGCTTCTGGGTAGGCTGGAAGGAGTTATATGTATATAAAAAAGAAATATGTTCTACTATCAGCAAAGGGAGGCATTTATGAGGGGATAAAACTGAAACCAACCTTTTCTTCAGATAGAAGGCATGTGGCCAATGCCCTTAAAACAAAAGTGACAAGTGTGCGTGTGTTATTTGGAAAGGCTGCCGTTGTTCGTCCAGCTAGTTGCTGGGTTGTTGCTGTTCAAAGCTTGCACTTCCTTTTGAATTAATTGTAAAATTTGTTTTGTTTTTGAGGATATGGAATATACTACTTATGCTATAGTGAGCATTTTGCTTACAATAAAACAGGAGAGGAACATGACCTGGCCATTGGCAGGTTTGGAAAGAGCAGGCACTGCTTGGGTGTCCTTGGAACATTTATCTAGGAAAAAAGGGTCAGTGAACGTTGTCCCCTCTTCTGAAGAAGACTTCCTCTGAGTGGTGGGTTTTGTTATTTAGGTGAGCAAACCTGCAACAGAGAATGAAGCCGTGCAAGTGCTTCTTCTCAGAAATGCCCTTTCTCCTCAAGCACATCAAAAAACAACTTCTCACCTAAAGCCTTGCAGGTGAATGCTGACTCTCAGGAAATTCAGTGATTGTAGATATTCTTTTCATTGCTCAACAAATTTGGATTCCTTGCAACCTTCTTGAGCCTGAAAAAATAGTCTAGAAATAGCAAGAATCACTATTACATATCTTAGAGGCCCCAAATTTAGCAATTTTCCTTCCTTGCAGAAGGATTAACATTTCATAGAACTGGGGAGACTCTGAAGAGTTGTCATTTACTGAAAAAAAGCAAATTGCAAGAGATGTAAAGGCAGCAGCTCAGTGTATAAGGCTTGGTTTTACTGTTCGAGGTTAGGAGGAAATTTGCCATCAGGAATTAGTATTACAGAACTCCTTATCCTGGGATATGACCCCAAAATTGTTGAAAGAAACATCTAAAAAAAGTGACATTCTTAGAAGTTAAGAGATCTTGTTTGTTGAAACTGATTCTTGCACCCTGAAACATATTTTTCAAAAGGCATCTGACACTGTTGTGAACTGCTGATGCTTTCCTCTAGCACAATCACCTTTTTGAGCAAACAATCTGTAATTTGGTAGCAGAAAGAGAAAACAAATGTATTCCAATATGCAGTAAAAGGAAAAAAAATGTTATAAGTTGTATATTTTATATGGTACCTCCTTTTCCCAAAGTATGACATCATTGTGAATAACTACAGATGGGACAAGAGGAAATGGCCTCAAGTTTTGCTGGGGAGGTTCAAGTTAGACATTGGGAAGAATTTCTGCATGGAAAGAGGAGTCAAGCATTAGAACAGGCTGCCTGGGGAAGTGGTGGATCCCCGTCCTTGGCAGTGTTCAGGAAACGTGGAGACGAGGCACTTAGGGACATGGTTTAGCAGCTGTGGTGTGAAGGGTTTACGGTTAGACCTGATGATCTTAAAGGCCTTTTCCAGCCGTGTTTCTGTGATTCTGTGATTGCAATCTATTTGGACTTTCACAAAGTTCTACATTGATTAACTCCACTGAACCAACAGAGTGAGTGTTCAGTGTCTTGCCCATGGAGCACCACTGAGTTGTAACTGTGTCTGCACTGCTCCAAGAGCAGTATTGGCTGCAATGCCCCAGAAGTGTTTTTATTGCTTTTGCTTTTGTCATTGCAAAGTTGATGTCTAGGGCTCTCGAGGTTCTAACCTTGCCTTCCTCTCTGCCTCCTCTTCCTCCTAGTGTCTATCAACTTGTTGTCAAGGAAGAGAAGCCGCAGAAAGCACGGAGAGCTGCAGACATCGTTGAGTGCTTCTCCGTGCCCGTGAGCTACAAGAACGCCTCCAGCCTGGACTCCCCCCACTACTTTGCAGCCGAACTGAAGCCCATCAACCTGCCCGTCACGCAGCCGTTCACGGTGGGCGACAACAAAACCTACAACGGCTACTGGAACGCTCCCCTCTCGCCCCTGAAAAGCTACAGCATATACTTCCAAGCTCTTAGCAAAGCCAATGGAGTAAGTGCAGAGAAAGTTAAGTTGGATCTGTATGTATGGCCCACCTCTGTCTGTCCTTCACACCTTTCTCTTCCCCTCTCCATGAGATGCCAGCTTATCTCTTCTTCATCATAATCTTCTTGCAGAAATTTGGTGAAATCTTAAGCTTACCTCTACTTGTCCTTCACTCATATCTCTCCCTGATGCTTGGATCCAATGGGAAACCCATAGAGGGACTAGATGATGTAAAGGCACATGTTGGGTTACTGTCCCGTGGTTTACAAAGTGGATTGCTAAGAATTTACTTTTTATTACTTTTTTTCCTTGCAGTTGCATTAAAATTGGTGTGGGGACTATTGTTACATCTTGGCAGTCATGAATTCCAGTGCTTGCTGTTTTGGAGGAGATGTTAGGGGAGCTGCACAAATGCTATAATATTGGTCTACTTTATTGACTTGCATTTACTCACATCATAATTTAGCAATTATGGTTGGGATTTTTAGTTTGAATACTGTGTAAGTTAGGCAGTGGAGGGGACAATGTGCATTTCTGTCTTGTCTCCTTTTGGATATCCTGGACTGTACTTTTTAAAATATTTTCTCTGTGATACTAAGTTTAAAATGGAGACAGGCAACTGAGTCTTCCCCGTTCTCAGATTCAAATGTCTTATGTGTCATCCATGACAGTCATAGGAAAAGTAAAGGCCTCTTCCATTTTTCCCTTTCCAGGCTAAAATCGTTTGTGACTTTCTTTTAACTTGACTGTTACAGTCTTGTTCAGCTAACAGCGAAGAGGTGAGACCCAGCCTGAGTGGTGATTTACCTTATTCCCTTCCTAACCTTTTACTCCCCGAATTGTTTTTCACTATCATATATGACACGATCTGATTTGGCATTCCGGCCTCATGAAAAATCTTACAGCATTAATGTGCAGTCAAGAACATGGACAGTTGTGGGAGTTCTTAGCACCTTTGCCAGTGCCTTTATGAATCCAACTTTTACTTGGCAAAGTTTTTCAAGACAGTTTTGCTCTGAAAGAGCAAATTTAGAAGAAGCAATGAGAGGTGAAAGGTGCCATAGGCTTTGCTCTCCACTTGGAATAGAGTCTTCTGCACCGAAAAGACAGTGTATTACAGGGGACTGCACGTTGTTTAGCAGGCGAGCAGTGCTAATGCATGTCCACGACGAGTCTTACTTGCTCAGTGCCTCCATTCATCACTGTTCTCCAGCAGATTCTCTGCTGTGGGGCTGATGAAAACAGATCTCTTCCTTACGGTGCCATTTTTCACCTTGGTTCTCTTGCTAGTCAATGCAGGTTCCTTCCAATACTACTCAATTAATTCAATTTTAGATTTACCTTTATAAAGGAAATTGTGAAATATGTGCATGTGTCTGTCTGTGTCTAGTTAGTTCCCCCTCATGTGCTAGTTAGTTGCTGCTGAATGGATCCCCAGGGAAGGAAAGCTTTATTTGCTCAAGTACAATATAATGTGCTGTAAATGAGCAGAATAAATGGAATTGTAGGCTTCACCTGGCAATCTGGATTAAGGCAGCAATCATGTGCAGTTCCTGCTTTTTTCTGGACCTCTGTATCTGGTAATTCCATTGTGATCTGTATATGCAAGGTCACAGGCATGCAGAAAGCTTTGCAAATTTGCTTTGCAAATACTTAAAAGAAATTAAGAGCAGTTAGTAAATGGCCTGCAAAGCAGTTAGACTGTGTGGTAGGAGAGGTCCGGGTCATTGCCAATGTCCTGAGTCGCTGCAGTGGCAGAGAACTCATATAAATTCCCAAATTACCAGTGGATACGGAGTGTGCTCCATCTGTTACAGATAAAAGCAAACTGCAGACGAGAAGTCCAGCAGTCCTTGCCAGTCTGAGCTGGAAAAAATGTGGGTTTCTATCATCTGGGCCATTCCATAATTTTCAATTACAGGCAGAAATGATTATTTTTTTTGCTTACAAGGTCTGGACTTGCAAGCATAAAGAATCCAAGGAGCCTGTATGCAACAGGATGCGGCTTGTGAATACAGGGAAAAGAAATACTTAGCAGATAAAACAAATTCTTTCTGAGCGAGCAGTTGCCTCTTGTGTTAATAATTTGTATAGTTACGGCATATGGTTATGTTTCCTTAAAGTGCAGTTTAGCTGATAGGTACAGGAACAAACAGAGAGAAAATATAACAGGGCACCATCTGCTGGGTGCAGGTCCAAGAGTGAAATTTGGCTCCTCAGCTGAATAAATGTGATACTTTTTGTTTCACAATGAAATCCTTATGTCCTGCATTTCAAACATTAGGGTCTGATTTGCATCCAGTCTTTTACAGCAGTAAATAATGAGTTTTGTTTTGTTCCCAGAATTGTTTGCAGGTATAATCTGTATTTAGAGCTCTGGGTAGACACTTGGATCTGCAAATTGAGCAGTTTTGACTGCAGTCTTCACAGAGCCTGCAAACAGGGCTGCAATGTGGCATTTCTGATAGTGCACGTCTGCAGAAATGTTGAAACACTAACGTTTGGCAGCATTAAAATACAGCCTTGTGTTCCCTTGCATATTAAAACCTTTTTAATAGACTGTTGCCACTCATATTTTAACTAGGATATTCTGCAGTCACATTAAGCACTGGGAGTTTTGGAATGATGAAACTTCTTTTCACACCTGCAGTGGAACCTGCAATGAGAAAGCTCCACGCAGTGAACCACAGCATCTTTTGGAAATGCAGGACTCCAGAGGGGAGTAATTTGAAGGAACATTCTGTGTTTGCTCAGAAAGCCTGATGAGGAGGAGGCGCCCGTGGCTGCGGCGTTCCCGCGTTGTTCCCGTGCCTCTGTGCGTGGAGGGCTGCGCTCGCTCCGCGCTCCCGTCTGCTCTCTAGCCATTAGCCCTGATTGTTGCGTTGAAGGGAACATAATTAACAGCTGGGTGCAGAACAAGTGTGGCAAATTGCTGCAAAATCAGATTGCGAGCCTCGCTGCCTTCTCTGTGCAACGCTGTGTCTGCCGGCGCGAGGCTGAGGGAGCTGCCGCTCGCTCAATTCGCCTGTTCTCTGGACCCTCGCGGGAAATCTGGTCAACGCGGCATCGCTTCCAGCAACGGGACTAAATAGCACACGTGCAGCAACATTGTTTTGGGCTCTGCCACACAAAAGCCTTCCAAATTGTGCCCGCTTCCCTCCTAGGGCTTGTCGAGAGCCAGATGCTGAGCTGAATGTGTCAAGAGTTTGAAGTAAGAGCGGGGAGAAAATTAAAAAGCAAAAAAAAAAAAAAAAAAGGAAGCGAAGAAAGCAGAACCTCCAGGTTTTGTGTGGGTGAGAAGCACAATTAGAGACTGTGGTTTTGTTAGAAAGAGGTGGTGCAAAAAGTGACACAAAAAGAACAGGCTTCTCTAGGTGCCCTGGCAAAATCTCCATGCGTGCTGCTGCTGCCGCTCACGTAGTTACCTGGATTTGCTGTTTATCCTGGTGCTACCGGCAACATTGGCTGTCTGACCCGGTGGGATGTTCACCTTGTCCAAAAACTGAGCCCCTTCGCAGCACCCTTCCCTGCAACATCCTCCTGCCCCTGCAAGGTGAGGCTGGTGCGAGACGGCAGCGTCCTGGCTAATAACCAGAGTTAAGTGCTGAGGGGTTTATTGCTCCGCGGTTCTTCCCCCCGGTCATCGCGGGTGACAGTCCCTGAGCAGCGATCCAGCAAACTCATTCAGCCAGGGAGGATTCTCCAGTTGCTGTGAAACCTGCCTGAATTTTTAGTAGTGCAGAAACGAGAGCTTCCTGGAAATCCTTCCTGCAGTTGTTGAGTTTTACTCCTCTGAGTCAAACTGAGATCCGTAGCAGCGCAGTTGCAATCAATAATTCTTGGCCGTTTTCCCTCTAATGTGGAACAGCCCTTGCAGTGCAGCTGGGCGGTGTGGAAGCGCTGCCCGCTGCTCGTGCAGCCTGCTGGTCCAGCAGGTGAGTGTTGCTTTCAGACCAGGAGGGTGGAAATAGCATCGCTGTAATCAATGAGAACAGTATTTTCAAAGAAATGATAAGACTCTCCAGAGTTTCTCAGCGCTTTTTTTCTTTTCTCTCTCTCTAATGACTTGTACTCATGCACAACTATGCAGTTCATTAGTAGCAGGGGACTTGAGGCTGAGTTTCTAGATGCTTCTCACAATACAGAACATCCTTCTAAGAGACTCTGGGCGTATGTTTGGAGCTGGCAACACTTAAGGTGAGATTCATACCTGTGGGAGATGGCCCACACAAAGTGTGTGAGATACTTGAATCCAGCACAAGCCCTGTTCTGGGAACTTGAGTAGTATCTAGATGCCTACACTGCTTCTACAAACAGCTTTGAGAAGCTCTATATTCATCAGGTTTTCAGGTGTACAGTTTTGTCCACTGACGCTTATTCTTCTGAGATACATTTTGGAGCTCCTGGAACAAAAATACAGCAGCTGTGGAAACACCAAGTTCTTTGTAAGCCCTTGTGTTCATGTCTGCTTGGTGGTCCTGGGCCAAAGTATGTTAAACCAGGTACCCAAAACAGCTGGTGTTGGAAAGTCAGCGTAAGGGGTTGGCTTAGTCCTCTAGGAGAACAAGCCATTTTCTTAAACCTGCAATAGAAATTACAGGGGGCTCCATGGATGCTGCCGAACCACACACAAGATGAATTTTAAATACAGCAAACAGTTGCCTTAAGTGAGATCGCATGGACATGGCCTAGTGCTCCCCCAAATTTCAACAAGATTCGTTAAGGACAAAACACAAATATTAATTTCTTAGGCGCTCAGCTGAGAAGGGCAGTGGTTTGGCTTTGGTAGGAAACGTTGCCTGCAAGTGTGTTCATCCTTGGGACACGGGGTGCTAACGGTGGTGCTCGAAACAGAGCTGGAGGTTGGTGATTACGTGTCTGCATCATCCATGCGGCAGCAAAAGTGCAAACTGCTGTGTCCAGTTTGAGCTCCTTGATAAACTGCCTGTTACGGGCCAGCCTGGAGCAGCCCGCGCAGGGGACGGCACCGCGGTGCTCGCCCTGGCAGTGGTGAAGGAAGGAAAAAACCCGGTGTGGAAACGGATGGATGGGAGCGCTCGCTTCTCCTGTTGTGCATACTCTGGAAGCAGCAAGCTGTCATTTTGAAGGGAAAAAAAGCATCACTTGCCCTTTTATCTTGTGAAGATGCAGCTGTCACATAAACATATGTCCTGCTGCCCCTTCCACAGAGAATTGTTTCTGCCCAAACACTCCACGATAGAGGAGGACCAGTCCCCCCGGGCGTGCTTCAGGGAAAGGTGCTTTGGGGAACCTCAATGAATATAGGCAGGATCAGCTCCCTTGCTTTGGAAAGAACAACCTATACTCAGAGAATGCTAAAACATCACAGGCAAAATTGCAGAGAATTCAGAGGTCGGCGCTCCAGGAGGAGCCCAGAAGGGACAATCGGGGGCCCGAAATTTGGGGATATTATTTTTGTTTTTCTAAAGCTTTTTTTTTTAATCCCTTTATTTCACATTTTTCTTGCAATTGCCCTGAGACACCTGGATTATAATTGAGAATGAACTGTATTATATATTCCTTTTTTACTGTTGCCTAAACAGAAGCATCTTCGTTTACTGTGAACAAGTAAACACACTGCCTGAATGAAGACTAGTATTTTTCAGAAAACAGGTGTGGTTGTCAGAAAATTGCTTCACTGTTTTGAGGGGAAAAAAAAATCTGTATTTGTTTATTCTGTTTGCTGGCAGAAGAGTTCAGGCAAACTCAAAATATGAACAAAACCCCCCTTTTTGAGACACAGAAGAGGGAAACACTGGGTTGATCAATGAAAGATGATCAGTGGAGATCAAAGGAGTAGTCAGTCCTAATGGGGGATATGGATGAGGTTCCCTGGAGCATCCGCAGGAGCTGCATGTCTGGTGTCCTTTCGAGTTGCTTTCAAGTTCTTCTCCTCAGAAGATGCTGTCCAAAACTCTGAAGTCCAGAAGACTTGTTCCTCAAGTGATGAATTGCTCTTCCTTTTGTCAGTACCCAGTCACTATCTTTTGCCAGGGCCCACGTCTGCTAAATGCAGCAATAAGGAGCTGTACGTGTATCATCACCAGCATTAAAGATGTGGGATTTCAGGACATGCAGGCAGAGCGAGTGTCCAGTCCTCTCACTTTACCCTGTGGGAGGGCAGTGTGCAGGAGTATGGACACGCTCAAATGAGATCAGTTACAGCTTCATTAGCAAGATTTCATTCTTGGTTTTCTCACCTATTCTTTTCTCAGCGTTGACTAGTTTCTCCTACTTTCTATTGTGCTTTGGAGCTAGTACAAAACAAGAGCTACAAAAACAATAAAAATTTTCCATGACAAAATTCATGCAGGTGCCCAGCTACTTTGGGATGCAAAAATGCTATCTTGATATTCAGTTTATTTCTCATCACTGATTTTCTGGGTCACCTTTCCTTAGATTATAAACTCCACCAGGATTGGTTGTTATTATTATTTCTATCGCTACATGCTGAGGCTGGGCTCTGAAAGTAAAGCTGTGCTCTTCTCGGTTCATATATCATCACCGGCATTAAAGATGTGGGATTTCAGGACTGGCTGGCAATTGGAGCCGGTTTCGCGGGAGGCGGGAGGGAGCGCAGAGCCCCATGGAGCAGCCTGCACCGGTGGACTCGCTGGTGCTGGCGTGGGTGCAACTGTGTGGGGGGAGCATTTTTGCAAAGAGAGAGGAGTCATTGCTCAAAAAGATTCAGCTCTGGGACAAACAGTCCTTTGGTCGCAGGCCGAGGATGATACATCTGGATGGGGCTGTCCACCATGGACACGATGTGTCCGGTAGTCCAGGAGCCCCTTGAGAGAGTTTCAAGGGAAACTGGAAGGGAAAGGTTCTCCTCTTGGGTACCCTTTTCTTTCTGGAATACCCGTGGGGTTGCTTTTTCCAACCAGCATGGCCAAGGTTTCCCCTGAGGAGCACGTGGAGAAGGATCAGACGGAGCTGCAGCTGTACATCCCAGCGCACGGATCCCATGGATCCTGCCATCCGCCCTTTCTCGTGCAAAGAGGAAGGGAAGAGTGGCTGTGC